TGTTTGAGATTTTCCACCATTGGAACTCAGATACCATCTGATATCTTATTTTAATTGTAATGACGCTACTTATTTTTCATAAAAATACATTAAAGCTTAATAGGTCAGATTACAAAGAAGTTCATGGTGGATTGACTGTTTACAGTTTTAGACCTAAATTTCGGGATGTCATACAACTATTGAATCAAGAATGCAAAAACTATTTGTTTCCACATAAATTTTATTTGATTAAATGTATATAATCATATGTGATTAAATATAGAAGACCAACCATCGAATCAAAAACACAAAAATATACACGGTCCATATAATTCATATATGATTAAATACATATAATCACATATGACTTATATGGAAAAAAAATTCATTTTCACTTTCTCGATTCAATATTTTTTTTTGTATTTAGTAACATTTATTATATGTATCTAATCAAATATGATTTATATGAACAAAAACGAATAATATTGTCCATATAAATCATATGTGATTAGATACATATAATAATATATGATGAAATACATGAGGAAATTTATTGAATCGAAAATATGAACATGAATGTTGTCTATATAAATCATATGTGATTAAATACATATAACCACATGTGATTATATGTATTTAATCACATATGATTTATGTGATTATATACATTAAATCACATGTGGTGGTGGTGGTGGTGGTTATAGGTGGTGGGTGATGGAGTTCGTGGGTGATAAGTGGTTGGTGGTAGGGGTAAGTGGTGGTGGGTGGTGGTAATGGTATGGGTGGTAGGTGGTGGTTGTGATGGATGGTGGGTGTTGGTATCGAGTCGTGATAGGTATGGTCACTGGTAAGTGCTGAATGGGTGGTAAGTGCTAGGGGTTATAGGTTTGGTGATGGGTGATGATAACTTGTAGTGGTGGTGGTTGGTGGGTTGTGATTGGTATTGGGGATGGTGGGTGGTAGGTGGTGAGAGTGATGGGTGTGCTGGTGGGTGGGTGGAAAAGGAAATGGTGAGGGGTGGTGGTGATGAGGTGTGTTAATGAGTGGTGGTGTATATGGTAGGTTGTGATGCGTAATTGTGGGTGGAGGTTAGTGGTAATGGTGGGTGGTGGGTGGTGTTGGTGGTAGTGATGGTCATGGTGGTAGCTATAGGTACAGAGGTATGGGCGTGGGGGTAGTGGTGACGTGTGGGTGGTGAGTAGTGAGCGGTGGTAAGTGGGTGGTAGGTAATGAATGAGAGTGATGTGGTGGGTGGTGATGAGTGATTATGGAGGATGATTGGTCTTAAGGTGAAGAACGAATAGGAAAAAAGAAATTAACTAATGTAATAAGATATAATAGACTACTTATTTTTATTAAATTTCGCAAGAACATAATGAATGTATTTTATAACACATAATAATCCTTGCTTTTCAACAATAAATTCATATCATATTTAAAATCATTCGTTCTAATTCATCACTATCACTAACAATTTGGAATAATAATTGTAAACTCTTTTTTTTTTTTTATCAAAATCAATTATCAAAAGTTCCATCGATGTTATTTACACCAAAATAAACGATAGAAACTAACATGATATATATAACTAATAGCATAAAATACATGTTGAAAAATACTCTATTGGACAGAAAAATAGATTGTCTTAACATAAAAGAAAAAGACGACATACAGATACATACATATTAACAAAGTTAATTGTTTTAACTAATAAATAACATGAATATTGATTTATCAGAAGCTCATGAGAAATAATTATTAGCCCCATTTCATCATGTTATGATTATAAAAGATCCATAACATATAAAATTAAAAAAAATTGTCTCAAGTATACCTTTACACACATACTTAAATTTGAAGCTTGTGGTTATATAAAACTTTACATGCACCAAGTTTGCATTTACTTGCATTTAAATTTAGAAAAGTTGCAATTGTTCTCTTACATCCATGGAACCAATCGTATAACTCTTCAAACTCTACCAATATAATCTATCATTTTGTGTTGACATACATGCAATATAAAAGCTACAATGTTATTATATAGGCTAAATATTTAATTTAACTTATCAATTAAATACTATGATTTAAAGAGTTTTGGAAGTTACAAATCACAACATTTCAATTAATCATAAATTAAAATATATAAGTTGAATAGTTTTCGGAGTTTCAAATACATGAGGTCCAAGAGAAAATATTTTGGTTGAAGTGTTTTGACCTTTCTCTCTCTCTCTCTCTATATATATATATATATATATATATATATATATATATATATAGAGAGAGAGAGAGAGAGAGAGAGAGATGGAAAGTATTGGTGGATTAGTGTCTAAGCCTCTAACTATATTTGGTATGTATTTGACCCGGTTGTGCATGGTCATTTTGGGTTGTCTTTACTAAAGCAACTTGATAGGATGATTTATGGAGAAAGAGGATTAATTATGATTTATTAATATATTATATGAGTAATATATTAAAGGAGAAATCATATTGTTTAATATTAGTCAAGAATTAATTAAGAATTAGTTTTGTAACTAAAAGACATTAATTAAACTTTAGGGGACTGGAATTGTAATTATAAGATAGTTGTAATTGGGATATGTATCATCTTGGAGCATAGGTTGGACGAATTCTATGGGAAGCCCATAAGGAATTCGTCCGAAAGGGAGTCCATAGGCTACTTAGGGCCTAAATAGTCAAATTAGGGTTTCCTAGATGAAAACCCTAAGAGTCTCACTATATAAATACCCATATGGCCCCAAAAACGTGTTGAACTCTTTTGGAAGAACCCTAGGATGTTTTTGGTGATCCTCCTCTTTCTCATAAGTCATTATCTTGCTCTTAGTGTTTGTAAGCCATTAGAGGAGTGACACTTGTGACTCTAAGCTCCAAGACTTGAAGATTCAAGCCATTATCAAAAGATACTCATCTAGATTTGCTCTTATGTGATAATTTCGAAATGCATATGCTAAATTAGGGTTCTTGAGCCTTAGATGAATTGCATGTATAATAGAGAAACCTAGATCCAAGCATTAGGGTTGCATGAGCACATAGGATGTTCTTTTGGCTCAAACCCATCAAGTATAACATATGTATGAGTTTTAATTAATTATCTTTTTGAAACGATACAATTACAAAACAAAAAAATATATTTAAAATATTTAATTAAATATTTTCGACATCACCCTATATAACATATGATCAATATATTAACGATTAAATCACAATATACAACGACTGTATTACAATAATCCAAAACAAACAACATATATAAAACAAATTAGTATAACAAACTTACAAATTAAAAGCTCTAATATAATAGCATATCTCCAAAAGTGGTCATAAGACCTCAATCCAACACAAAAACCTTTAATGTTTGTTTGTTTTTTTTTTCCTGAAATTTGTATATGATTTGTGTGCATGTCTTCCCAAAAGATTGATGTTTTTATAGTAAACTTTTCACTAAATGATAATTAAACATAATATAAATTATAAAACTTTTGAGTGTTAAATCATAATTAAGAAAAGTTTTGAGTTGCATTAGTTAAAAAATGAGGTTTCAAATGAATGTGGTTTGAGAAAGTTAAAAAATGAGGTTTCAACTGCATGAGATTCAAAAAAAAATGCTAACTTTATAAGTATGTATGATATAGATTTTTTACCTTTGTCCCTAAGTGGCCAACTTATAGTTCATAAATGGTTATATGTTGTCATAAGAATTTGTATATTTTTAACTATTTCCCTTCTACACTATATATTTATTTATTTTTTGTAACGTTTCATCCAAATATGCTTATTTTAATGGTTTATTAATTGATTCATTCATTTACAATAATTATTCAATGTTAAAATTATTATTATATCACTATATAATGATTGGTCTAGAATTTGTGTTACATTCATACAATATCTGATGGTTAATATGATCCTAACTCCTCCTACATAAATGTTCTTGTAACCTTTATATGTTTAGATTATAACTCCAACACTCATGACTAGAAATCAAAAGAAATTAAATATCCTTCTATTTTTTCTGTATATTTATCTTTCTATCACTTTTAGATGATGATAAAGTTATAATAAAAATTCATTTATTTTTTTAAATATGACAAATATCACAATCTTAGTTGTGTACAAAGATAATAGATAAAAAAAAAGTAGAAGAATATTTGAGTTCTCGGAAATCAAATATAAAACATGTGATTGATGTTTTCTCTATTTTAGTCATTTCCTTTCGACTACTTAGTACGGGCCGTTTAGGGGTGTTAGAGCCGATGTGGGTCACCCATAATGCGGTCATAAAAGTTGCAACACCACCCCCACTCCTGTTATGTTAAGCTTCGTTGTAACGACGACGGGTCAACGCCCGTTTTTTTTTTCTTCCTTCCCCTCAACACCATCCCCTTTAGATGTCATGCATGGAGATGTTACGAAGAGAAGATGATGACGTGACAGCGTTGTGCGTGGGTATGTGTTATAACATGGAGAAGATTATTGTTAAATGTCAATCCTTTCTTTCAAATAAGAATAACCTATGCCCTTGAATTTTATGTGAAATTTGTCAAATATCAGTTTCTTTTTCCAGGTATTGCGTGGCTCATTTGAACCCTTCCTAAAGAGTTGAATTTTATGTGAAGAATAATCTTCTGAATTGTTAATATTAATAAAGCCAAGTCGTAAACATTTCCCGATTGACAAATTCAGATATTAACCGAAACCTTGGCCCATATAATTGAATAATGCAGTTGAAATTTAAACAATGACTAAATACCAAAGCCTTTATATGTTCCACTTTTTATTGCATAATAGACAATATAGTGCCATCGAGGAAGGCCACCGGCTCATATTAAGAGGATAACTTTTCAGCAGTTATATATAATTCCTTCCTGAATCAAACCATCACAAACTGTGAAATGTTAGTTTCCCGTTATTTCTTTTACTAAATCTTGAAACGCGTCTTTTTCTCTCTATAAAGTTGATAGACTTGCCTGATCTTTTGTCACTGAAAACTCTTTAGACTGCTAATGGAACCCAAAATGATTTTTCTTCAGTTCCTTGAATTCTTGAAGAAATGGATCATGATTATGTCGAAAAATGGCAAACTTATGGCCATTGTAACCTCGATCTACATCATCATCGCGTCTCTTTTCTCCGTCTTGAACATCTCTACAGCCAAACCAATCATATTTGATATCGTCACAAAATCTATGATGCTACCTTCTCAAGATCCACAAGGCCTTGTTTTTGCACACGTTCAAAATACGATACAGAAAGAGTTCAAAATATTCTTAGGCATCGAACTAGCTTTCATTGTAGGCCTATTCATCACGTCTCTTATTGCCCAAAATGCAATTATTTTGCTAATTGGAGCTGCTCACAAGGACGAGAAAATATCTCATATAGATCTGATCTTAAGGATGCCACAACCATTAAAAAGAACGTTCATCACTTCTTTTCATGTAACACTTCTCAGAATCGGCTTTCTCTACATTGGTTTCTTTTTCGTAATCGTTCTTATGACAATGACTTCTGGGAACAAGATTGTATCAAAACTGATACTATGGACGCTCGTGGTTCTTGTTGTGAGCATGTATCTATATTTTTCAGTTGTTTGGGTTCTATCCATGGTGGTTTCCGTGCTAGAAGAGTGTTCTGGAATTGAGGCGTTAGGAAGAGCTGGGAGGCTTGTTAAAGGCATGAAGTTACAAGGGTTTCTTCTGAACCTTCTGTTGAATCTTCTATCATATGTTATCTTTCATTTCTTATCGAAGATGATGATGGTTAAACAACCGTTGACTCAGGCGATCTTGGTTTTTTTTCTTGTGGGTTTTATGTGTTCGATAACCATGTTCACGTTTCAGGCATACACAGTTTTATACTTCGAGTGCAAGATGAATCATGGTGAAGAGATTGAACTGCATGGGAGCGTTGAATATAGTAAAATACCAAGAGTACCTCTTGGTGAAGAACTACTATAAAATTTACTGATGTGTTGTATGTTTCCAGACCACATAATCGTCTGTTGTGATCGTGTATTGAAGTATTCTAGCTTTGTTAGTTATATAAAATGACAATGTTTATGATAAATGAATACAAGGTAAGCGGGTATAAAATGTCCGAGATGAAAACTGACTAGCATAACTTTATCACATTAGAAAGTACAATTTCTATGAGGATTCTATTCCCAATTGAATATGCAATGCCTTTTCAGGCGCTTATGCATCCCAGTAACTAAAAGTTGGCAAGATAATTAATGACTTACATATGATCACGCCTATGAATAAAGGAATTGATATTTCCTCCATAAAATCAATTTCTCTAGAAAAATCAAACACTATATTTTTATCCAAGTTATCTACAGTTATTATCGGATATATTTAATCTTAGTCAAATATTTGCATAAAATATATTTAGTTCGGCTAGCCTAAGTAGTTGCGTAGGGCGTCTATAAAATAAGTTTCTCAAAAACAGATTTTTTTAACCTCATAATTATAGTTCACAGTGTCACAAAAAACACTTAATGAATTAACAATAATATCTATTGAAATGAGTATTGATTATTAAGAGTTGATAACAATTTGTTTATAAAAATACTATGAGAGATATAACTATGTAAGATTTTATTTTGTATTATTATTATTATTATTATTTTGATTGTTTTTACAAAAACCATCGATTTATCATAGTATTAATAAAAATTTGCTTATATAAAAAATTATTTAAGGGCTTATTTTTATTTTTCGTATAGAACCCCAAAATGAAAAAGACGGCCTTGTTCAAAATGTATGTCATGAATCGATCAATTATTCAAACATCAATTTTTAATGTCGAGCTGTTCAAGATCATGAATGGAAATATATATATAATTATATAGGCTAAAATTTCTTAGAAACGACCAGGAATTAAGTCAATTTTCGAAGTCCCTATCAATTCTCTTTCAAATCTTATTCTATTTTTCTTCACTGTCAAATTTATTATAAAATGTGTTTTTTGCCGCATCAATAATCAACCTTTCTGTATGCAATTGTTCCACTAAAATCTGTATTTTAATAATAGACCTACAAAAAGACAAAATAGATATAGAAAAATTCTAATGTACGGCGGAAACTTTTTGCATAGTTACATTAACATATATGGTCAAAATACAAAAACCACAATTATTTATCGGGTTAATGATCTAGGAAAGCCATAATATTTTAATTTTGTTGGCATCAGGAAAGCCATAATATGGTCAAAATACAAAAACATTAATGATTTTTTTTTGACATATTACACTAACATGATTTTTATAACCATTAAAATGTCGTTCTTCTTACCATTTAAAATGACGAAATTTAAATGATTATAACAATAGTTTTGTGTAATATGTACAAAAAAAACACTAGAGACCTAAAATGGACAAAACATTATTACTCTCCTATATCATTAATCCTTAGAAGCTTTTAGAATAATTACATAAATGGATCTTACAATTTACAAAAAAATCAGAAACTTAGTATTTAGTTTTTTTTAAAATAGATAGTCTTGTGGTTCCAACTTCCAGTTGCATCGTTGCTTGTACCGACTTAAATATCATTTTTAATATTTTTATCATTTCATCTAACTTTTTTATATTTTATATTAGTATTTTGTTAGATAAATTCATCATTTCATCTTCTCATTTTAATCGTCTATTAACCACAACCAACGGTTTCAATTGAAATGTTACATAATAATTTTTTCCCATTTTTACAACGGTTTCAATTGAAATGTTATATTTCCAAATATACCCCTGAATAAATTTTTGAAAGCATATTTTTTTTAAATGCCTTTTACGTCATTATATAAATTTCAAACATATTTCTTTAAATGCTCTTTTATGTCGTTATATAAATTTCAGATAGACGGAGTCAAGGTCAAAGGAAATTGGTATCCCCAACAAGTAAAAGGGTATCCCCGACAAATCTTGTATCTCTAATCTCTTTTAGAATGATTAATGACCTAGGAGGGTAAAACTGTTTCAAATTGGTCCACATTAGGTCCTTAAGTTCTATTTTTGTACATATCATACCAACATGGTTGTTATAAATGTTTAAATGTTGTGCCTTTAACGTTTAAAGGCACGTCATTTAAACGGTTGTAACAACCATGTTGGTGTAATATGTACAAAAAATATCTTAAGGACCTAATATTAACAAAATTAAAGCCTTATAATCCTCCTAGGTTATTAACTCTTATTTATCTACACTAGTGCAAAAATAACCTACGCTCATACTTTTCGAAAAATGATCTGTCACACTTTTTATTAAAAATATCACTAAAAAAATTTAGAGATTGTTTTTGGATACATTTAAATTAGTTTGTGTGTCAATTGTATAGATAATCAAAACTTTAACCACATTTAATTATACCAAATGTGATAATTGTTACCCACACTCGAAGATTGTGGCCAGATTTCACTATCAACCATATTTATAGATTAACATTATAATATCTTTATATAAGAGACAATACATAGATATTTGGTGACATGAGGCAATTGTATATGTTCTAGTATCATGGTGCTATTTAAAATCCAATGTAGCTAATAGTAGATACATATGGCCACATTAAATATATGTGTGTCCATAGGGTGGCATTTAGTAGTGACTAGGTAAAAGCAAGAAAACAAGTTAATTTTAGTGGTTTATGGTTATGTATCTTTTATTATGTGTGTCAAAATATGATGAATTGGCTTTGAAAAAAAAACAAATATTATGAGTGTAAGTTGCATTTAGTTATGTGTACAATTATTATGTGTGTTTATAAGTAAATCTAGTTAGAAGACATATAATGTTTGATTAGTATAATTATAGTATAGTTATTGAATGTGTGACTATAATTATGTAATTATCATTCTTTTTGTACTAGTTTGTGTATAAATTTAAAGAATAGTCTTCATCAAAATACCCTTTGTTGAATAGTCAACCATTTGACTTACATAGAGCCATTGACTCAAACCCAAACCACATAACTTATTATTAGAGTTTGGGATAGTTTTTGCAAATAAATAAATAAATAAAAATGTAATGATTTTCATTTGAAGACTGTTGGAATTACCTACATCAAACAGATTTTGGTTATAAATATGTTTGACTTCTGAGACCTATTTTGGTCATATAACATTTAGAGTGATGTCAACATGTACAAAACAAATGGTTAGAGTTGCATCTGAAGGGCTCTTTTAACTCGGCCAAAATACCCTCTAGAATGGGACATAAATTGTTTCTACAATCTGTACCAATTTTTGCATCTAGAACCCCATAAAAAAAAGACCATATTGCCCTTTTGCAGTAAATTATCATAGTTTTCTTATTATATTCAATTTTAGAGCTGAAAATCCAAACCAAAACAGTTTCCCATAGAAAATACCAATGTTAGGCGTGTCAAACCCAACAAATAATAGGGTACGATATACTCCAAAATAATCCCACTATATTGCACTAAAAGCTAGTACAAGGCAAGCAGGATCGATCTACAGAGACACGGGATAATTAGTCTGTACCTCTTTGCGCAAGGTACTATGGTCACCAATAATCATAAGGGGGGGTTTAGAATGCAATGACTAAACAAACAAATTTAAAACACGAGTAGACAACTAAACGAATGAATTAAGTTCAGATTTTGTAAGGGCTCCAACTCCATGTATGACAATTTAGCAATGTGACTCAAAGATGACACAATATTCGTTCAATTCTATCTAAGTTGATACTTGAAAGTGCTAATAAGCTCTAACACTTACCATTCACCATATTAATTAACCAAAACAAGCTCTTTGATTAACCCTAACCTTATTAACCTAATCTATACAAGCTCTTAGAATTAGATTATAAAATTGCATGAAGTTTTATGTGAATGTTCCCAACAACACCCAATACTCCTCATAAGCTCGGGAGTGTAAAAGTGTATGAATAAGATTTACACTAAATTCATTCAATAGAGATCAATTTAATGCTTGTTACTTGTTCAATTTCACAAAACAATTACGGATTTTGTAAAAGAGATAACTTGAATGACCTAACCCTATTTCAAATGGCCAATAAGAATCACAATTAGAATCAAACATTCGATTGAAGCAAAATCAAATTCATTAGATAGAAATTAAGAACAAACATCATGTCATATGATTGAAGTAACTACCAAGAAGTCAAAACATGAAATTGGAGAAATTAGGGTTCTAGCCACACATGGCTATAACAAGATCACAAGAATAAAAGATGGAATTAAAGTGCAATTACAACTTATAAATACTAGAAATAATGTTTCCAAATGATTAACGGACAAACCCTCGCAAAAACCTTCGAATTCTCCTCTCTAATGGTGCTCTGATATGTTCTCCCCCTTTAAAAAATGGCCCTTAACCCGTAATATGAAAGATAGGAAAAACTGGCAAAAGTTGGTTTCTGGGTCGAACACAGCCCATGTTAAAATAGGCTAAACTGACACGGGTCGTGTTGAAGAACACGCCCTGTGTTGATTTGCACTAGACTGACACGCCCCGTTTTCAGCATGGTCAACAGCTCCCATTTTGGTCAAACACGACCCATGCCTACTTTTCAGTGTAAATTCAACACGACCCGTGTACCTCTCTGACTCCAATTCCAAACTTTATTTTTCCAACTTTTTCGCTCTTCGCCCGATCGTCCCGAAATCTTCACCAACGCTCCCTAGCACCTCCAAAAGCGCGCTCCAACCTCCGGTTCACCTGAAAAGGGCATGAAAAAGTGCAAATAAGGTTGTTCAAGAAATTGACCTAGATATGCTAAAATGAAATAAAAGCAACAAATTATGCTAAGGACATACATAAAAAGGGCTAAAAGTTGTGCAAAAAGGTGCACAAAATACACCTAACAGATCTCCCCAAGCTTAGACCTTTCTTGTCCTCAAGAACGAACAAGAACTGGACAAATAGGACGATTTCTAGATGGCAAAAAGAAACTTAGAACGAAAAGGGGATGAAGGATCCTAAAGGTTAAGAATGAATGCATGCAATGTAATGCCATGAAAATTTAAGGTATGTACAAAATGCACTTGAGAAACAAAATGAAGCAAAAGAAAAGAAGATTAAGAACAAACACAAAATATGTACTTTTGTATCTAAATAAAGGTACGATCAGACTTTACATCAATAGGGCTCCGATCATTGATACCTTGGCAACCATCCTGTTTCCTTCCACATATCACAGACTCTCAATGTGAGGAAGACCCGAAACGGTGTAACCCAATAATCCAACCAAAGTTTTATTTGATCTTTATACCTTACTAAGCTTTATGGGAGAAAATAACATAGTCAGGATTTCATGTTCTTAAGACTAGATGGCTAAGAATCAGAATCGATGCATCCTTAAGAACCCGTCACGACGAATTAGCTTTCACTGAAACAATGAGCCCACCCGAAGGGGCCCAGCTCCTATGCTTTCACTTTTTTCGAGAGCCACAAGTATCATATCACACAATTCTTCATTCGCCATATTTGACTTGAATTGGCTTTTGATTTGATTGAACTTTGATTTGTACTTCGTTTTGAATTTGGATTCTTCAATCTTCATTTTTGGAATTTCTTTGGATTTCTTCGTTTTCGCTTTTGAAAATCTGATTAGGGTACTAGACATGACAGTTGTACCCTTCCTTCTTTCTTGACTGTGTGGATGTGATACTTAAGCTCTCTGCTACTGCGAGGGTAACGCGTGTCAACAAATAGGTCCGTGTTCTGTGGGTTCAGAGTTGCCGATAAAGATTCTTTTTAAAAATTCAAAAGCAAATCATCCTAAAGTGTTATTACCGCCCAAAAAAGGTTTCAATATAAATTCTTTTTATTATCTAAGGCTAGGGTCTCGGATTACGGTGTTTGGGTTCCCTTCTTATGATAGTTGATTCTACGCTTCCGGTAACTATCCGGTCGCCTCGGTATTCTTTCATTTCATGGAGCAATTGTATGTAAAGAGTGTCATCATGTCGTACACTTTTTTTTTGAAAAACAAATATAGAATGCAAGGAAAATGAAAATAAGAAAATAAAATAGAAAAGAGAAAATAAGAGAGAATAAAATAAATTTTTTTTTGAAAAAATGAAATAATTTTTTTTGAAAATAAGAAAATGCATGAGTATGAGTGAACCTAATATACAAGTCTACCCCTCCCCAAGCTTAAAGATAAGCATCATCCCCGATGCTTGGAGAGGGAGGAACAACCTAAAACAGCGGTGAAGGAGGCGGATAGTAGTTGGGGTTTCGGGTCCAAGCCTAGAAGTCCTCCTCATGTTTGCGTTGACGCTCTTGATCCCGAGCGTACTGGGTGGTGAAGGTGGAAAAATTATGGGTCAGGCTGGTAATATCCTGCTGGTAGGTGTCGAGGCGGGTATGGATTGACTGGAATTCATCCATATACTGTTGATGATAAGGCGGGGGTGCAATAAAATGGGATGAGTTGGCACCATCGGTGGGAGAAGCATGGTGGGGCTCCTCCTCCTCTTCATCATCATCACCATCTTCCTCGTTTTCTTCACTTTGCTCATCTACCTCGGTAGAGTATGAGTGGGGGAAGATGTATGGAATGATTTGCCAATCGGTCATGTGAATGGGATTTTAGAAATCAAGAATGCCTTTATTTTCTGGTGTGATGAGGAGCTTTGGATCATGATTTTGACCCACGGTTTAATGGTGTGTGCAATCGCCTGTCGAACGGAAGAGTCGCATGGACTCAAGGATAGTAGTGGTGAGATAAGGCTCACCCGGCAGTGGCTGATGGGGACCGGGGTATGGGGCTCGGATTTGGGCGCTCTTGGCGAGCATGCTGACAATACCCCCGCAAACAATCTTTCCCGATCGGGATGTGCTCAAGCGGATGAGCATGTGGCACAGAAACCGACCATAATGAGGAATGAGGTTATTCTCGGGATGGGTCATTGCATAGAGGATTTTGAGTTCTAGCGCGCTCATGGTGCTTCGCTCCTCTCTAGGGGCGACAAGCGAAGCAATGATTCTATGGGATACCTTTATCATAGGATGGATAAGTGATGAGGCTTTAGCAGCGCTAGAGACATATAGGTGTAATTGGGTGAGTCGGGTCACCATGTTATGTCAAAGTATCCTTGAATTGGGTCAGTGGGGCCAAATGTGTTTTCCGTTGGGGCCCTCACAATGGCATTGATTTGATCCATAGAGATCTCATAGTCTTGATTCATTAGACGGAAGTAGAGGATCCCATGGTCTAAATAAACTGAGGATAGAAACTCAGTTATTGGGACTTTATAGCTCAATTCATGGACCCTCAACAAGCCGTGCCACCCTATGTTGCGAAACAGGGTTTTGACTTGATTGTAAACATGCAACTCTTTTAAGGATGGAAAATGCGCGAATTTTTGGATGACATGACCCTGTTTAAGGAATGACTCAAGTTTGCCCTGTTGAATTGGGCTAAGACATACAACACCACAATGAGACGGGTCGGATGAGGGTGTTGGGGACCTAGATGGAGGTGATGGGGATCTAGATGGAGGTGATGGAGTCCTAGGCTTCCGACGGCGGGTGAATGGTTTGGTTTGTCTTGGTCTTTTGGAAGATGCAGCTTCCATAGTCAAGTTTGGGACAAATTAAAAGTCAATAGGTCAAAATGTCAAAAGTCAACTGTTAACGGGTCCAGTCAACTTCGAATTTGGCCACCAAAATTTCGCGAGAAATTTGCTTTTCAAAGATTTCTACTAAGAATCAAGTACAAATAGACCTCAATTTCAAGTAATTTGACTCAAGAACACAAAATCCAAAAGTTAAGAGTTGGAAGGAATTTAACGAATCGTGTGTGGGATTGTGTCGTTCTTGATAGAAAAGATCTTCCTTAACCCCCCCCCCCACGCTTGCCCTCTTTAAGATTAAGACACTAAAACACCAAAATCACATGAGATTTTCAGATATAGGGTTTGTCAAAAACCCCCAAATCCACCATTAAAATGCAAGAAAATGGTGTTTAAGACGGAGAAGATGAAGTGTAGATGATGAAAATCATACCTTTTTGTAGACGAAAGCCAAAATCTTGAAGAAATTGAATGGTTTTTGATGAAAATCGGACCTAAGGTTTTTGTTGGGAGACAGGGGCTGTTAGGAAGTGAAAGTGTGGATAAATGAGGTCAGGTCCTGATTTTTCTTTAAAAAGGGCTTGAACTGCTGCGCGGAAATGACCCGTGTCGCCCCAGGCCAAACTGACACGCCCGGTGTTGGGGGGCTTTTATGCTGAGTTAAGGATGAACACGACCCGTGTTGGGTCAAGGCCAAAACAAACACAACCCGTGTTTCTCTCTAGAAGAATTTGGGACTTTTTTGCACGAACACGACCCGTGTCCATTATAGGCCAAAACCAACACGACCCGTGTTGGTCTCTGGAAGGATTTGGGACTTTTTTTCATGAACACGACCCATATTCCATTAAGGCTAAGAGGGACTCGACCCGTGTTGGTCTATGGATGCTAATCCCTACTTTTTGAACTTGAAATTTTTCCTCTCTTTGAAATGAAATACTTTTGCATTCCTAGGTCCGTTTGGTGATTTTAAATCATGATTAAATGCATTTGGAACATTGAAAACCAAAAACTCAAAGAAATGGAAATTGTTTTTAAATAAAAGATAGAAATACCCCCGGGTTGCCTCCCGGTTAGCCGCCCTTGTTTCAAGTCGTTGGCTCGACTTTGCCCCCGCATATGCTTCAGTCTTGGTATGTGGGGTTCTCCAACTCGTCAACCTCTTCATTCTTCACCTCAAATCCTTCATAAAACAGCTTCAGCCTGTGACCATTGACTTTGAATGTTTTACCCATTTGCTTGCTCGTGATTTCCACCGCACCATGGTCAAACACCCTTGTAACCACGAAAGGACCAACCCATCTCGATCGCAACTTTCCTGAAATTAGCTTGAATCTTGAGTGGTAAAGCAACACCTTTTGTCCTTGTATAAAAGTCTTTCGGGAGATTGCCCTGTCATGGTATGCTTTTGTTTTCTCCTTATAGATCATGTTGCTTTCGTATGCATCATTCTGAATCTCCTCTAGCTCTTGGATATCAAGTTTCCTTTTATTTCCCACCTCATCTTCACTCATTTTGAATTTCTTTACCACCCAAAAAGCTTTATGCTCAAGCTCAACTAGAAGATTGCATGCTTTACCAAAACACAAGCGTATATGGGGACATACCAATAGGAGTTTTAAAGGTGGTACAGTATGCCCATAAGGCATCATCTAGCCTTAAGCTCCAATCCTTGCGGTTTGGGTTGATCGTTTTCTCCAAGATGCTTTTGATTTGCGTGTTTGAGACCTCTGCTTGTCCATTGATTTGGGGATGATAAGTTGTTGCGACTTTTTGTGTCACTCCATATCTCTTCAAAACAACTTCTAGCATCCAATTGCAGAAATGGGTCCTACGGTCACTTCTGAGACCCTTTGGTGTGCCAAACCTTAAGAAAATTTGTACCTTAAGGAAATCGATAACAACTTTGGAATTATTAGTATGGGTCGCCTTAGCCTTCACCCATTTGGACACATAGTCCACCGCTAACAAAATATAAGAACAACCAAAAGAGGGCATAAATGGTCCCATAAAGTCAATACCCCATACATCAAAAATCTCACATACTAGAATAGGGGTAAGGGGCATTTGATTCCTGGAGCTTAAAGATCTGGATTTTTGGCACTTTTCACAATGTGCACAATGCACATAGGAATCATGGAAAATAGAAGACCAAAAGAATCTGCTATCTAAAACTTTTCTAGCTGTCCTTTGGGGTCCAAAGTGACCACCACAAGCATACGAATGGCAAAAGTTAAGGATAGATTGTACCTCTTTTTGCTCCACACACTTGCGAATTAGTTGGTTCGCACAGTACTTTCAAAGGTAAGGCTCGTCCCATATTTATCGTTTGGCTTCCTTCTTGATTTTGTCTCTTTGCCAACATGATGAATCTGGGGGAAATTGATTTTTGACCAAGTAATTGACGATATCTGCATACCATGGTGCTTCTTTGGCTGCAAATAGATGTTCATCTGGAAATGTGTCACAGATTGGTATACCATCTTCGGGCGGTACAATGCGACTTAGATGATCTGCAACCAGATTTTCTTTTCCACTCTTGTCTTTGATATCAACATCGAACTCTTGCAAAAGCATCATCCACCGTATTAACTTCGGCTTTAAATCTTTCTTTGTAAGCAAGTGCTTTATGGCTGCATGGTCCAAATATATGATCACCTTTGTTCCAAGGAGGTATTGTCGGAACTTCTCTAGAGCAAAGACAATAGCAAGCAACTCTTTCTCCGTTGTGGTGTAGTTGCCTTGTGCACTATCAAGGGTCTTTGATGCATAGTATATGACATGATGTGCTCGGTCAACCTTTTGTCACAAAACCGCCCCAACCGCAGTATTGCTAGCATCGCACATGATCTCGAATGGAAGATCCCAATTTGGCGGTTGAATAATGGGGGTGGATTTCAACAATTCTTTCAAAAGATCGAATGCCTTCTTACATTCATCACCAAACTCAAAATCAGCCTCCTTTTGTAGAAGTTGACACATCGGCACCGTAATCTTGGAAAAATCCTTTATAAACCGCTGATAAAAACCTGCATGGCCAAGAAAAGAACGTACTTCCCGAACATTTGTTGGGTATGGTAAGCTCTTAATAACATCTGTTTTGGCCTTGTCAACTTCTAAACCTTTTTGGGACACCAGATGTCCAAGTATCAAGCCCTTGTCAACCATAAAATGGCATTTTTCATAGTTAAGGACTAAGTTCGTGTCAATGCGCCTTTGTAGAATTTTGGTGAGATTTTGCAAACATTCATTAAAATAATTTCCATAAACAGTAAAATCATCCATGAAAACCTCATGATATTTTCGACATATTCTGAAAATATGCTCACCATACATCTTTGGAAGGTCGCGGGTGCATTGCACAAGCCGAAGGGCATGCGTCTATACGTAAAGGTGCCGAAGGGACATGTGAATGTGGTTTCCTCTTGGTCTTCCGGGGAAACCGGAATTTGATGAAAACTAGAGAAACCATCAAGGAAGCAATAGTAGGATTTCCCATCCAATCGTTCTAACATCTGATCTATGAATGGAAAAGGGAACTGGTGTTTGCGGGTGGAAGAATTCAACTTCCTATAATCGATACAAACTCTCCACCCGTTTTGCACATGGGTGGGTACCAATTCCCCCTCGAAGTTTTTGACAACGGTGACTCTGACTTCTTTCGGGACTACTTGCACAGGACTTACCCACTTACTATTAGAAATAGGGTAGATTACACCTGCATCCAAGAGCTTCATGATCTCCTTTTTAACCACCTCCATCATAGGTGGATTCAACCTCCTTTGGGCTTCATGGGATGGCTTGAAGTCCTCTTCCATCAGTATTTTGTGCATGCATAACGATGGGCTCCACCCTTTTATATCCGCAATGGTCCAACCAATAGCCTCCTTGTATTTCTTTAAAATTCCAACTAACTCTTTTTCTTCTTCTCGTGCCAGCTTGGTCGAAATTATCACTGGTAATGTATATTCCTCTCCAAGATAGGCATGCTTAAGATGGTCGGGATGAGCCTTCAACTCAAGAGTCGGTGGTTGTACTATGGATGGGAGAAGTTTCTGATTAGAACTTTTTAGCTTCATGCGGGGTGGTTCAACTCTCATGGGTTGTGCTTTCTCCAAGGAATCAATTACTTCAATCAATTCATCTTCCAATGTGTACTTGTCAGCCAACTCCTTAATCTCTGTCTCATCAAAGTGTTTGCTCAAGATGGTGGTTAGCACATCTTAGCTTGACATCTCAAAGCAATCATTAGTACATGAATCAATAACATGTATGAAGTTTAAAGAATGAATATCGCTAGGATAACACATGGCTTCAAAGATATTAAAGTTGATCACCTCACCATCGAACTCCATTGACAAAGTACCATTGGCTACGTCTATTTTTGTTTTTTTGGTACTCATAAAGGGTCTCCCCAAAAGGATGGAGCTCGATTGTGGGGGTGTTTTCATCATCCATGTCTAAAACATAAAAGTTAGCGGGAAAAACAAGCTTATTAACTTGCACTAACACGTCGTCCAATACACCTTTCGGGTGTACCAAAGACCGGTCAGCAAGTTGAATGATGACTCCGGTTTTTTATCAAGGTCCAATTCCCATTGACTTATAACTTGAATAGGGTAAGACATTAATTGATGCTCCCAGATCAAGCATGTCACGTGGTACAAAAAGGTTACCCAGCTTGCAAGGAACCGTGAAAACACCCGGGTCCTTGCATTTTTTTGGTAGCCACTTTTGTAACACGGCTGAGACATTTTCACCAACCTTCACAGTTTGATTTCCTTTAAGCTTTTTCTTAGATGTGCAAAGTTCCTTAAGGAACTTAGCATATCTACGAATATGTGTAATGGCATCTAAAAGAGGGATATTGATTTCAACCTTTCAAAACATGGCCATGATTTCGTCATCTTCCGTTTCTCTTTTGGTGCTTGCCAGCCTTGAAGGAAATGGAGCTGGTGTGACTTTCACTTTGGATTCTATTAGCTTCCTAGACTTTGGAGTAC